CAAAAAGACAAAAGTCAAATGGCAAAAAATCGTCAAAAGTCCCCTGTTATTACGTGTTTTTCAGAGAAATTATTGTAAACACATCAATATGAAGACATTTGCCGTTTTTTTACGACGGCCATCTGGTACACATTTGGTGCACATCTGGTGCAGATTTGGTCAAATAAGGTTCAGTGTGTCTCTGTTGACAACATCTGCTATTGTCATCCCGCTTTGATTTGCGCCTGACCTTGGCCATAACCCGCGCCCCGCTGGGGGGGGGGGGGGGGGCAGAATCTGTCCCCCTCCCGTTTTTCGCCAATAACTTCTAAACGCGTTACGCCAGCAACGTCAAACTTTCAGTACCTTATCATACATCAATTTAACACGTTCCCTGAAATTTTGAGCGAAATCCGTCGGAAATTGTTTGAGAAATTGACGTTTTAGTGGCGTCATGTTCGCCATTTTCGCCTTAAAAACGGCAAAATTTCAAACGCCGCTAACATCTTCATTTTTAAAGGAATCAAGACGTAACAAAAAGGTTATACGTGATTCTACTTTGTCTATCAAATGGCTATCTCGGTTTTTTGAAAATGTTGGATTTTGGCCCAAATTTTTTTCAAAAGACTGACTTTTTTGGGAAAATAATTATAAAATCCAAAATTTTGAGTGTATCGAAAAAAAAACGGAATATATGTCAGAGAAGTGGTCTATGTGCACCTACATACCAATTTTTAGAAGAATCGGTTCAAAAATGTGGGAGTTATTCAAAATTTTATGACGTCACAACACACAAATTTTTTGAAAAATGATTTGTTTTGGAAGTTCGAGACCTCCTACGGAAAGAAAAATAGCACCATTCGATTTGCCGTGAAAAACTGCATCAGATAGACACCTTTTTAGGCCTTAACAACCAACTTCAAAATTTGACCTCACTTGACCTGACCTTGACCTGACCTCGACCTGAAATTCATCCAGAGGTGGTCCATATCACTTATTGAGTGTGCGTATTGAATTCTATGAGTAAAATGACCCATAAAACATGTGTCGCACATGCCCTTTTCTATATTTTGTTTTTGGTGACCTGACCTGACCTGACCTGACCTTGACCTTGACCTTTGAATGACATTGTATGCAACGAATATTGTCTTGGTAGTCTAAGAACACGTTTTGGGCAATCAGTCTCAGTCCATTCTTCGGCAACTACGGTGCAAGGCCGATACTGTAGAAACTTGCATTTTGTACCCTTGACCTGACCTTGACCTGACCTCTGACCTACTTAAGCAAAAAAATTCTCTTAAGATCCGCCTTGTTGAGAGCTTTCGATTGCCGTTTTCCCCGTCTTTCTACGACCATCGGTTCGGAAGTTAGACAGGGGGGGGGGGCAGAATCTGCCCCCCCCCCCCAGCAGGGCGCGTATGGCTGAATAGCCCAGCGGGGCGCGGGATAAGTGTGGCAGGCCAGATTTTGTACTGGACCATTTTGAGTCAACTTTGAGAAATGCATAACGTACAACGGTGGTAAATCGTTGCTATAGGTATAACACAGTTTACCCACTCCGGGTGTGAGGGAGGGGTGTGGGGCAATGAGTGCACTGACGTGGTGCCCTCGGAGGGCCGGTATGGGATTAAAGCTCAGCGACACCGGGCTTGTGTGGTGCCTTCGGTTATCGGTAGCACCCTCAGAATGGACCTTGACCTTTCGAGGTCAACATATATATGGTTCGATGCGGATTGACGAGAGGATCACGATGGTGCCCTTAATTTGTTCCTAGCTTGACCAATTCGAAAGTTATTCGAGACAAACTCTCCCCATATTTAGCGCCGCCATTTTGACTTTTTTGACCCCTATGACGTCATCTTTGACCTGACCTGAAAATGACCTCAGTAAAAATTGTAGACCTTGTCCGTGCGTATCCCATGCCGTTTACCGCTTGTCGCTATCTTGCTTCGTTCTCGAGATCTGAGGGGGGAGGGGCGGCGGTCATCCGCCCCCCCCCCCCCCCGTCGGTTCTAAGTTGGCGCAGACCCTCGTCGGTCCGCGGGTTAAGCTTATTTGACTTTTCACTATTTGACTTTTATCTTTTTGACTTTTTGCGGTTTTGAGTTTTGCCTTTTTGACTTTTGCTTATTTGACTTTTTGGCATTTGACTTTTTGTGTTTTGACTTTTTGTCATATCGTCGGTGGGCGATATTTTGTACGAGGATCGCTTTTTCAAAATTGGGAAAAATTGTGTTTTGTAGTACCTACCTATTTATATTTTTTTATTTTTAGGGGTCAGAATGAAAAATCCAATACTTCGAAAATCTGAGATAGCAGTTGCAGTTTTGTAAGCACTTCCCCCCAAATCCTTTTTTGGTCTAAAATAGCAGAACTTACCGACGTCACTCTGACGTCATTCGTGGCCAACCTATCATAGAATTTTGAAAAAAATATTCTGGCAATAATGTGTAAAATTGTCCTGAAAAATTGGTGACGATATCTACGAAACTTTACGAGATATCGACTGAAAAGGAGAAATAAGCCCATTCAAATTCAAAATGCAGGCACTGATGACGTCGATCGCGATGGTTCTGCGCAGGCGCATAAGGGCGTTGTTGTGAGCAAGGTTGTGAGCCTGCGCAGGGGGGTCTGCTCCCGTGCTTTTCCGCTATCAAAAACTGGCAATAGGCTGGCTCAAGGCCGTTGGACAGCGGCCGGCGCGCTGATTGGCTGACGGCTGTAAATAGGGCGGAGCTAATATGGTGACGTCACAGATCACTCTGCCCGAAGGCCGATAGTGTTATAGTCAATGGAGGGGAATATTGTGCGCCCGTTTTTTCCTACTTTGAGTGTCACGTAAGGTCTTCTTCTTTATTTTGGTACAATTGAGGTCGTTCTCGTGGCTGCTACACATCAACTTTCCATTCGTTAACGCATTTGTCCGATTTAGAGCGTCTTGAACGTCGAGCTAACACCATGGTGCCGAACGAATAAGGTACCGAATCGCAGTTACCACGAATAGAAAACAAGCCGTATCAATGATCAAACTGATGTTCGTTTCCGGAAGACACAAGCAACTTCTTGCCTATGTGTTGGATTTTTATGTTATTGTCTTAATCTATGTGTTTTCAATGTCGTCCATCTAACCCTCACCGGCCGAAGGGGGAGACGTGTGCCGCCCCCAAACCCATGGGTTTATCGCGATAGTTCGGAACACGCCGGTGATAGAGAGGCAAAACTTGGCCTACCTGGTCTTTCCTTCAAGCCGGATCTTTTGACACCAACTGCATTTTCGGGTCAAGTCAGTTTCGGGTCTATGACGTCATAAGTGAACCTCTGCACGGCCCCACAATGTCGTGACTTCGCAGCGCTCTCACAGTGCACAAGAGCCGAGGAGCTTTCACAGGGAGATGAACTTACAGGACCTAGTATCCATGAGAGGTCTCACAGCTTGTATGTCTTGGATTTTTCCTAAGGGTCACCTGAGGTCAAGTCCTCACCATGACGTGACCTCGCCATTATAAGTCGATGGGAAAATATGTATACGATACCTATGTAAATATGGATCATCGCCGGATGGCGCCGGCAATGATCCAGAACTATGTCAAGCACACAGAATCGTGATTTCATGCACACGATCCGATGCTTCACTTTTGTATTGCTGACCTTGTGTGACGTCATTTATGACGTCGATAAGGTCATAAGTTTTTCGTCAATAGCTCCTGATCAAATTGAGCTAGCGTAGCGGAGTACGGAAACCCACCAATGGACTCGGGAACACCTGTCGAATCGAATGATATGCGATATGACCTCCTTCGACCAACTTGGTGACCTGAAGGGCTCTGACATGACCTTCACCCGAAGTCAACATTTTAGGTTGAGCTCGACCCAACAAAATGTATACCATTCGACGTGCCTGAGCCAGGCAAACAAGATGCCGTCAAAATCGCGGCTCTGTGAACATTTCTGACGAAGTTGTTTGCCAAAAACTGACACTTAGCTTGGGCCACTTGACCGGACCTCAGATGTGACCGGTTAACCTGAGGCCTTGAAATCGGCTACTAATCGCTGCGTAGTGCGTCTCGTAACGGCGCATACGTTTGTCTTCTCCGCGAAAATCTAGCTCAACCAGGGGCGAAACGGCGAGTCTTAACAACTAACCCCTCCCCTCTCGGCCGGGGCGTATGAAGAAAACCAATAGGTCCGGCGAGGTTTGGTTTAAGAAATACGGCTAGTTAACGATAGGTATTTTAAGTAGCACTGTTTCTTAAGGTGTTTGTATACAAGCGCTGCGCACATAAAAACAAAAAACAAAAATGTTGGCTGGCACGGCCAGGCAACGGCTCTGCATCTGTACTGTACCGCTGCTTCAGGCGCTTTATATATTACAAGTGCTTTATATAGGTATTAGGTGTACATTACACAATATGAAATTTATCATTTCACGATTCAGTACGCATTAGTGAATTACGATGCTATCTAGAATCAGAAACGGTCCAGTTGCGATAAACTTTTGAAATAGCGAAAGAGAAACAGCCACGGATGGGCTATGGCGAATGCATTACCTACTCCAAGAGCAAGATAGAGGAGGTTGGAGCAGGGCCCTCCTTGACTTTGTAGGGGCTAGAGCTGCCACTTGAACAGGGAAGCAATATTGGAGGAGTTTAGATGCGTTAGGAAGTGAGACTGGAACAGACCCATTGTGTCCGGTAGATGGGTGGAAACTTACCTATATCTAAGAGGTAGGTAAGGCGGAACGTTTACAAGTACCGATTGTTATGTTAATTCTAACGGTTCATTTTTCCTCACTGATCTGTCTGGTGAAAATGTGAGCTGCTAGCTGAGCTTAATGACCGGGAGTAAACGCATTTTAGCGTTAGTTGCATTGCAGCCGACGGGCGCAGAGTGATCTGTGACGTCACGAATCAGTAGTTCTCCCGCTGCCCATAGATGACGCTAGTGTGGTCTACGCATCCCGCCCATAGATGGCGCTGATACATGTTGCCACTTCTCGCGGCCGGAGCAGCCTACCTTTCTATAGAGCCTTGAGCCTGCGTCACTACTTTCTGTGCGCCATTTACGTCGATGTTGTACGCGACCTTGAGAAAAAGTTTCGATTCAGCGGTTTACGACTACGATCTGCGATTGTCGATCTGTTAAATGCTAAACTAGCCTTCAACATTTAATTCAAGACTTTTATTCATGTTCCTGGCATTCCTAACTACATTCAAGTTGTGCTAGCGTCGACAGAGAAAGGGTAAGTTGAAATCAAAGGAAGGCAGGTTTGGGCTCGTGGGTACGCGGGCCTGAAGACTTGAGTATTTTTGGCCATTTATTTTGAATGCTCGAAGACTTTCCACTGAAATTCCATGGCCCTATATACCCTGAAATTCCAACTGAATCACAGTCACTAGTGATGCACATGTGTTGAACCTTGTTGATAAAACAGGGCAGCTACCAAAGTACCTAGGTACCTACATTTTCCGTGAAAATTGCACATTATCTAATTAAGCATGCTGTATATCCACCCAGTGGCTGCTATTTTTTGAAAATATAGTCCTGTGTACATTTGATGGGTGCAGCATGTCCCATGCATGTCCCATGCTGCCCATGTAGCATGTAGGCTACATTCAAGTCAAGACTGCAAAGCGTAACAACTTGAACTGAGTGGACAAGTAACCTCAAATTTAAAATTGTTTCTGCACTTTAATTAAGTAGGTGTAGGTACCGGTGGAAAACTGAACTAGAACTCCAGTCCAATCATTCTCCAGTCAAACCAATTTTTGTATCTTCCTTATGTCTTTTTTTGAAAATGTTGCATCAACTGAGTAATTCTGCATGGTACATGCATGGGCCTGCACTGACCACCATTCCACGTAAAATTGCATCATATCATGGAAAATTGGTACCCCAGCTAGATGCCTCTAGTCAGTGTTGGAATTATCATTTTTGGTTGTGGTCCCAGAGAATAAAATCTTAGCAAGATAACGGTCAGCTTTTTGAACAACCAAGCACATCAACATGTGTGCCATACTTGACTATGACTATATGTGACTAGAAATAAAATTCACAACTAAAAATGGTATATTTATATTTCCATGTATGCTTTCTAGTCTTTCACATGAATCAAAATATCAAAAATATTGCAGATGCTGGAGTATCAATTTGTGTAGGAGGATGCACTCTTTTGGACCCACCTGGGATACGATAAGTGTCTTGTTTCCAAGGCTGGCTGCCTCAATGAGATTAGTGCAATCTTGGTTCAAGAAAAATTGATCCTTTTCATGCAACTTGATAACGAAAAACAGTGTTGTTGACCACAGCATGGTCCAGTACATCTTAAGAACAATAATAAAATGATTGTAAGTGATCACAAAGAATATTCAAAGCAGGAAAATCTTTTTAGGTTGTAACCTCAAAATTCCTAGTGTGAATAGAAGGTGAAAACATTGAAATTTGGCCAAATAATTCCCTTAATATAATGATTCTGTTTTGTGTATGTGGAGGTTGTTATCACATTGAGTGGTTTGACCAGCTTCTGAGACCATCATAAAAAATATACTAAAAAATTCAGGTTCTTCATCACTAAGTAGCTTGTGTGTTAACATGTGGTACATTGTTCAGATGTGTGGTGGCTACCCAAGCTTTTGGTGTCAAGTTCAGTCATAATATATTCTTTTTTTGCAGCTGAAAGTGACAGGCAAACAAGTAAGTAACAGATTAATAACAGGAATAAATCATGCCTCTCTGAAGTCTGATTTGCTATGTAATATGCCAAAATAGGTACCTCTTTTCATTATCTATTTCTCTTTTTCTTTTCTTTGTGCTGTCATGGTTGTTTTCCTACAAGCAAATTCAATTTTCCCCCAATCAGCCTACCCAGATTAAGTTATGGTATTACCCTTGTTGGAAGTTGGAGGCAGATTAATGGCGATCACACCTGGGTTTGAACCTTTTGCTGATGGGGTCTGGTCTGTTTTTTTTTTTTGCCCATCTGCCTGCCTGTCCCTGTCTGTCTTTCTCAATCTGTGTCTCTACTCTTCTATCTTTCCTCTCACACATTCTCTCGCCCTTTTTCACAGATGGACCAGGAGTATGAGCGACGCCTTGCGCGCACACCGACGCGTCCTTCGCTGGCCTCGCCCAGCAAGCGGCCGCCGCCGGCCAGCCCCACGGCGTCGCCGGTCAAGTCTCCGGTCAGCTCTCCGCACAAGGAGCGTTATGGAGACCGCTTCATCCCAGCTCGCGCCGGTGCACGGTGGCACATCAACTTCAACAACGTTCAGGTGTGTACTGCTCTTGTGACACCAGTGGCTGTACTTAACACTTTCGTTATGTGTTTTCGTGTTTTTCCTTGCCGAGGTTTCGTATTTGATAGTGTGATTGTTATTCTCTTTGAATTTGAGACTGTCCTGGACTCCCCTGATTTTCAATCTTAGCGCAATAGCGCAGCTGATTGGAGATCTCGTTATCCATGGCATCCCCGGTGTCGTTTGGCGTCACGCACATCCGCCACTCCCCGTAGGAGAACGCGCGGTCCATCTACGCGGCTCGCAAGGCACGCGACAACGAGTCGGGCAAAGACGGCCTGGCTTACACGTGCCTGCTGAAGAACGAGCTTCTGGATGCCGGCATCGACGACCTCCGGTCGCAAGAAGACGACAGCAGCCGGCGCGTCCTCTCGCCGGCCCAGTCGCAGAACATGCTGCACGTGAGTGCCGATAGGAGCATGGAGGTGTCAGAGAGGAACTGGATTGTGGTTTGGTGTGAAGATTAAGAAGCTCTCCCTTATGATCATCTGTCTGTTTGTCCTAGCAGTTATCGGTCCTAACGGAGCGCACTGTACTGGCCATCTGACTGTTTGTCCCAGGACCGAATATCCCGGTGGGCCGCACGGAACCATCTGACCTCTGTCTATTCTCTCTGTCCCTTCGGTACCGGTCCTGACGAACCTTACTGTACTGACCGTCTGGCTGTGCTTGTGTTGTTTAGTATCGGTCACGACGGACCCTGATCAGCGAGCCGTGGTCCCCTTCTCTACTGACCGTCTGTGCTTCGCTTCTTCTGCTCAGTACCGGTCGCGGCGGACCCTCATCAGCGAGCCGTGGTCCCCTTCTCTACTGACCGTCTGTCTGTCTCGTTTGTTCAGTACCGGTCGCGTCGGACCCTGATCAGCGAGCCGTGCTCCCCTTCTCTACTGACCGTCTGTTTGTCTTTCTTTTGTTCAGTACCGGTTACAGTCATTATGTTTCCTGTCTATCTACTGATGTTTCTTTTGTTTCGTGTATCTTTATTTAATTAGTTTGATTTCAGACACGACGCTGCAAATCAAGCGAATCGCTTATGCGGCTGTCTGCAGCATGTTAAAAAGCAATGTCTTACAAAATGTTTAATAAACTGATGATGATGATGATGATGATGGTGACCGGTCGCGGCGGACCCTCATCAGCGAGCCGTGGTCCCCTTCTCTACTGACCAGCGGTCTGTCTGTCTGCTTTTGTTCAGTACCGGTCGCGGCGGACCCTGATCAGCGAGCCTTGCTCCCCTACTGTACCTGACCGTCTGTCTGTCTGTCTCGTTTGTTCAGTACCGGTCGCGACGGACCCTAATCAGCGAGCCGTGCTCCCCGTACTCGCTGTCTCCGGTCAGTGGCCCCAGCCAGGCGCTCCTACGGTCGCCGAGGAAAGCTGTACGGAAAATCTCCAAGGCGCCCTTCAAGGCGAGTGACCACATACCAGCCAGCCACGAGTGGTTTGATGGTGTGTCTCAGGCTACACTCTTCAGAGGGATAGGGCGTAAACCACATTTTATTTGCGGTTTTTTGGTATTCGCTGCTATATCAATGTAACTGTCTTATCGTGTCATATCTGCGAAGTTTAAGGCCGCAGTTATTGGTGTTTTGACAGTTAAGTACCTCACCTATGTCTTCCGTCGCCGCTGAATACCGTGCCTTCTGTCGTCTCTGCCCTTTCTCCTGTCATCCCTACCTGTCACCGGCCTCTTCAGCACACCTGTGTCTGCTCTTCACCAATGACCGTGTCCCCTAACCACCCGTAACGGGTAACCATATTCTATAGCCTTACCCCGACTCCCCCTGACCACTCTATGTAACCTCCCCGTCCCGCGCCCAGGTCCTGGACGCGCCGGAGCTGCAGGACGACTTCTACCTGAACCTGGTGGACTGGTCGGCGCTGAACGTGGTCTGCGTCGGCCTGGGCCACTGCGTCTACCTGTGGTCGGCGCACACCAGCCAGGTGACGCGCCTGTGTGACCTGGCCGCCGATGGCGACTCGGTCACCTCCGTCTCCTGGAACGAGCGGGTCAGTCCGAGGGACGGGTGGGTGGGGTCTGAGAGGTCGGGTTGGTGGGGATCGGAATAAAGGACGGGTGTTCTTAGAGGAACAGGTTCTTAGGGAGTGCCAGCCTGCCAGGGATCAGAGGGAGAGACAGGTGTTGGAGGGAAGGGACAAGAGCATTAGGATCTTTCAAGGGGTTTGAAAGATCGTTCAGGGGCCCGAGGGACCTAATTGACGTGTAGGGTCTGGGAAGCACTATGTGAATAGATGGAGAGGGGCTAACGGAAGTGTAACGTGTTGAGTCAGATTCCTAAAGTAATGGTCCGCTATGCTATCAGATGGTATCTATCATATTTGGAGTTATCGAGTGTCTGCTGCTTTATCAGCACTATAAACTACCGTTGTGGTCAGTGATTCAACGAAGCACATAATATAACGCCGCCCCACGTCGTTGTCTATCGTGCAACATGGACATATTTATATCTACGCCACTCACATTCTGTCACTATCTCCCAAGTCTGACACATTTATCTCTCTCATCGCGTCGGCAGGGTAATCTCATCTCCGTGGGCACCAACAAGGGCTACGTGCAGGTGTGGGACGTGGCGCAGGCCAAGCGGCTGAACCAGCTGGCAGGCCACACGGCGCGTGTGGGCGCCCTGGCCTGGAACGGTGACACCCTGTGCTCGGGCAGCCGTGACCGGGTGATCCTGCAGAGGGACGTCCGACTGCCGAGCACCGTGCCGGAGAGGAAGATGACCGGGCATCGACAGGAGGTGAGAAATGAAGCGATAGACATAGCAGAGAGATAGAGGAGAGAATGGGAGGGAAATGGAGACGGAGCGGAGGGAAAGTTACAAAGGGATTGGGGAAGGAAGGAGGTGATTTGTGATTTTAGGACGGCCGGATTTCAGCGGTCATCGGTGGTTTCAAAGGAAAAGGCAAATCAGAGCTGGTTATAAGGACGTTGGTGGCGCCCTCGCTGTGTTGCCTGCTGTCGGTGCAGAGGGCTCTCAGTCCGCCATTCTTCGGTTGAGCGCTGGTGTCGTTTCAGTCGTCCCCGCTCTCACATAAACCCCTCACGTCCTGCTCGCCAGGTGTGTGGTCTCAAGTGGTCTCCGGACAACCAGTACCTGGCCTCCGGCGGCAACGACAACAAGCTTTATGTGTGGAACATGCACTCGACAACGCCCGTGCAGACCTACACCGAACACATCGCCGCCGTCAAAGGTATGTGCTCGATATGCAGGTACATTGTGTACGAACTGGAAAATGGGACTGCGGGTCTGTGTGGTAAAGGGTGATTGAGGTTAACTCGCAAGTGTAAAACGGAACGGGGTATGACGTCCTCCGTTGTGATTTATCGTTGTCGTGTGTGTTCTGCTTTCATAAATGTCGCACGTTTTCTTGTTCACTGGTTGTGTACGTGCTTTGTGACATTTGGTCGATGGAAATTAAGAAGTCTACTTTTATTGCGAAGATACTATGCCGTTTCCTGGCAGACATGGAGTATGCTTCTTCTGAACCGCTTGATTTCGGTCAGCAGGTGATCGGTAGCGTTCCTCTTTACGTTGGCATTCCGCTTCGTTGTCACGTCCGCCGATGTGTTGGCCGGTGTTTCGCTAACCCTGCCCGTGCTGAGCACCATGATCAGCCCCCTGACCTGACCTGACCTTACCTTACCTTACCTGACCTGACCTGTCCCCTCAGCGATCGCCTGGTCTCCGCACCAGCACGGTCTGCTGGCCAGCGGCGGCGGTACGGCCGACAAGTGTATCCGCTTCTGGAACACGCTCACAGAGCAGCCGATGCAGTGCGTGGATACCGGATCCCAGGTGAGACAAGGAGGGGACAGGGAAGGTAGGGGGATGGAGGTACGAACACGCTCACAGAGCAGCCGATGCAGTGCGTGGATACCGGATCCCAGGTGAGACAAGGAGGGGACAGGGAAGGTAGGGGGATGGAGGTACGAACACGCTCACAGAGCAGCCGATGCAGTGCGTGGATACCGGATCCCAGGTGAGACGGGGAGAGAGAGAGAAGGGGAAGGGAGAGGAGCTATTGTCTGGCACTAATGGCGTGAAACAGTAGTCACTATTTTCCTACATAAACTTTTTGCGATTTTTTTCGTCCGTTCTCATCATATTTCTTTAAAAAAAAGTCGACGATTTCTATATGTATATCAACCTGATAAAATTTTTGAGTGCTTGGTATTTTTCAACTCTGCCAATCAAACCTCTGACCAGTTTTCTTTCCTTTTTCATAACTGATGCATAGTTTAGGGAGATGAAAGTTCCACATTTCTGAGGCAGTCACCGGCTCCCCACACCAACCTCCATCTAACCCCCTCTCCCTCCCACCTCAGGTATGTAACCTGTCGTGGTCGAAGCACGCCTCGGAGCTGGTCAGCACGCACGGCTACTCGCAAAACCAGATCCTAGTGTGGAAGTACCCGGGCCTGAGCCAGGTGGCCAAGCTGACCGGGCACACGTACCGCGTGCTCTACCTGGCCATGTCGCCCGACGGGGAGGCCATCGTCACCGGCGCCGGCGACGAGACGCTCCGCTTCTGGAACATCTTCAGCAAGGCGCGCAGTCAGAAGGAGTCCAAGTCGGCGCTGAACCTCTTCACCAGTATCCGGTGAAGTGGTGAGGGGCATAGGAGGGCGGCCGGCGGCGCGTCAGGGCGCGGCCTGACCGACGCTATCCGCCCGGCGAATACCAAAGGCTTTAGGAGAAGGAAGGTATGACAGAACCGTATCGAGTTATTTTTGACTGGTTTTCAGCTACGAACAGCAACATTATGTTTATTTATGGTTATTTGTGTCTGAGTTGGTTTGTCGCGTGGTGTGTCGGGTGGGAGGGGGTGTTGTTTTTTGTTTCGCTGGCTGACTACGTCGGCCGGTTGCGGCGGCTAGCCGCAGGTCAGAATCTGAGTCGTTAGCGACAGAAATTGGGACGGGACGGGGCCCGCGCCGGCCAGTGGGTGTTCCCGCGGGACGGCGAGCCAGCCCACTGCGACGGCCGGGTAACGCCCCACATACGTATCGTATTTCAAGTACAGATATTGTCGACATGCTGATGCCGAGTTGTAATCGCGTGTGTTTATATTTCGTGCGAATACGTTTGATTGGGTTTAGTTGCCGTTAGCGCATGCGCAGATAGTCAATTCCGTGTGGTTTGCATCATACCGCAGAAGCTGCCAGGACAATCACAGCACAACGTTTGAGTTTGTATCGAGTACGCCGAACGCCTCTCTCTTTCTCCGACCGCGAACCGACTGACCCCAACCGGGGTCGACTGGGCGGGCTGTCTAGCCGCTCAGCGTCCGTGCAATTCGACCGCCACGCGCCATTGTCGCGACAGTGTAGCTGGCTGGGTAAGTGCCCGTTTGACGGTAACAGCAAAGCGTAACAGCTGCCACTAAAAGTCTAACTTTTTGTTCACGTGACTCTCGACCATTCCTGCATTGTCGTCGAGCGAAAATCTCGAGTTTGAAGCGATTGATGCGATTTTTGGTGACCCGCCGGCCGGTACCAGGCTGGCGAACCGCTGCGTTTGTGTGCGTATGTGCTGTGCTGTGTGCATTGCGTGTGCGTGTGCTACCCTTTTTCTACGATTCACTGACGCTTTATGTCTGATAGATTTGTGGAATTATTGCGGCAATACGGTCGCGAGATGCTTACGTTAGTCGGGACTTATGGCAAATATCCGAGCGCTAAGCGTAATACAACTGACTGGCGAGCATAGCGTGTTATTGATGTGGATTGTCTCCGAGAATACCTTTAGTAACTATCCACGACGATATGATCGGACTTCATAGTGTGATGGCAGGGGAGCCGTTTCGGCTGCGATCCGGGCGGGGATTACGACTGCTGGGGACAGTTGGGGAGGGGCCGTGCTCGGCTGTGCTCGTCGGGGCTTCACGGGCTGCACGGCGGCGGCCGGGCGGATCGATCCGTCCTGGCCCAGAGTCCGCGTCCGCCGGCGGGCCGGTGATAGCCGTCGCCGGCCCGGTGCTGTGTGATGGCCCTGCGCGCCTCGGGCCGACCCGCCTGGAGTGGTGCCCTGCGAGCCAGCCCCGTGTCCAGCGGTAGGTGAGACGCCGAGCGGTCGGGACGGGGCTCGTGGAGATCGCCGAGTGTTAGCTGGACTTGTATGTCAGTTAGTACGAACTGTCATTGGGGTATTTCCCCACTTTTAAGTTTTTAAGGACTCAGAACTGGCTCGCACTTTTCGTACCCATTGACTGGCATTCTGAAGTGTCCAATGTCCATGATTTTTGCCATTCGTATGCGTATTTACCGTTGCGAGCGGCCGACAGTGATCTCCCTTTGTGGGCTCTGTATTCGTGTTCTCTCGTACTACCCTATACCCTCTCCCGCGCGCCAAGAATAGCCGTCTGTGACCGCTGGAACCGTCTAACCGATTATGCCCTACCATAACAGCGGCTTTACGAATCGACCTGACATCTCGGCATTGTGAAACGGTTCACCGAGTAGCACCTGTGTGGACGAGAACTGTCACGTCTCAATGCGTGTCACGAGCCTGAGTTAGCCTCGATGACTGCATCTCAGCACTGTGCGGAGTCGCCACGCGCGCCGGTTCGCACCCTCGCCGTGCACGCGGTCACCCATAACAGCCCTGCCGACCGCGTTTACAAACAGAGCCGCTCGCGTGCTGACACGTGGTCGCGTGTGGAGAGGCCGTCACCACAGGTGGGTGCGGGGCGCTCCGATAACGCCGCCTATCGCCGGTATCAGTGAGAAAGGAACGTCGGTCAGCTGGGGCGGACTCTGTACCTTAGGATGACTGGGTGTTGAGACAGGCTGACAGCGGGTGAGACGTGGCGAACTAGCTTGCATGATAATTGATAAATTAGAATCATAACTTCCGACTTAGTGGTCGTGAAATAAGACTGGTTGCTGCTCCGTGGCGGATGATGTAACTGTCAGACAGCGGCCTGGTTCAGCCATCAGTAAATCGGCAGTCCGTTTAAATGTCGCAGCGTGATAGCCAAAGTGCGAGAGGTGTCACATTCAAGTGGCTGGTCCGGGGCCCCGATAAGATTCGGTACGTACGTACTTCCTGAACGTTATGATTAGTTCCGGTCTATGACGCCCTCTGCCCCCTCCCCCACAGTGCTCCAACTCTGCCGCTGGTGATGAGCACCAACAGCCAACGTATCTCTTGACATGCTTCGTTAGCCGCCACTTGGCAACGGGACCGTGCTCGGTACTCCCGAAGTGACAAAGCGACCGCGGCGAGATGAGGAACGCGATCACGAGTGAGGGAGGCGAGGCTGAGGAGGCACCTTTGTGGCTACCGCAGCACAGCCGCCGCGTTAGCCGGCTGACGCCTGAGGCCTGCTGCTCTCGACGGATCGATCCGTGGGTTTCGAGCATCGGCTCGGCCTCGGAGAATCGGCGAATCCTCGAGGCCCGAATCTCTAGGCGTGGTCGAAGAGATGTGCGCGATGCGACATGGATTGAAATCGACTGAGCGAGCCATGTGTCAGCTGACCGATGGACGCGATGGGTTGATTTCCGAAATCTCGATCGCGAGTGCCGTTTGCGGATAGGTCATAGCGTGTGCTAAGACCACCGCGACCACGGACCACGGTACGGAGCTAACTGGCAGCTAAGGCTTGTGCGGAACCATCCATTCCATCCGATGGGAAAATTCCGAGTAGGTGGCAGGATAAAGTCCCTACCAATTACCATGTAAGGGAGCGGCAGGGCCCAAAACGACGTGGATTAACCATGTGATTGTCTTTGCCTCGTTCCGTTCGGCCATGCCTGATACCATTGAATAGGTACATTGACATAGCGATCAAGCCGTTTTCGTGCACGCGACTCCTGACGGTCAATGCCACTGGGCCCGCCGAGTAACACCTGTCAAATACATGATTGGTAATAATGTCTATTTATTCCCTTTTTTGGAAGTGAGTAATCGCCTGAAACGCTGTGCGCCAATAATAGTAATGAAGGAGTCACGTAAATGCGAACTCTGTCGATTCGTTCCCACACATTGGTGCTCTTGAGAAAAAATTTAGGTAAAAGGTACATCAAAATATTTGAAATACTATAAAATAATATTTCAAACAATGAATTTTTCTATTTTACATTTAGTGTTTGAAATTAGTCGGAAAATTGCTCATGACCGACTCCAAAGTATTTGTGTTTCCCCATCTCTAGATTGCCGCCATACTCTCTCTTCCTCGCCGCAGAATGTGCTAATAATGGAAGGGTGATATTTGCATGAGTTTTTCAACGGGTTTAGTGATTTATGTTTCTTTGATTTTCTTTATTTCAAATATTCCACCACTCTGGAAATGGCAGGTCAGTGAGCAATACTTACGGATCTATGATGATAAGGGGGTGTGTTATTTTGAGACGAAAGTGGATAATTGTACATATGGGCTGTTTTTTATTATATGCTGGGATTTCCCATGATTTGCATGATTTGCATTTGATTGAGGTTCCTTAATAAGTTATCTTTTTATGCCATTTGAATCATGTTACCACTTGGGCATGCCAGCTAAAAGGACTGCGTCTCAACACATGCTCGTATGCTGGCAAAGGCTTCAGATTTTGATTTGTAACAATTTTTTGTCATGATGTTCTATTTGCTGAGACATACATACCTTACATTGTTTCAGTGAAATTGGTTATTATATGATGGTGAGTATAGTAATCATGGCCATAAAATGACGTGGGTAGTTGGCGCGCCCTCAAGCTCGAATAAACAAACACGAATGAATAGGAATTGTCATTTAATTCCACTTGTGTTTGTGATTTCCTTTAGTACCTACCTTTCAGTTTTTTTTGCTATAATTCAGCAGTTGAGCTTCATAAGGGTCATCACTATGACAACCAGTTTTCTGTTTGTTCATTTAATATCCCACTACATAATTATGAATAAATCTCTACATACATTTTCTGCATTAGTTCAGTATGCTATCAAGCACAACTAAGTGTGAATAGATAAACGATATGAGGCTTCTCTAGCTTTTGGTAAAAAGTAAGCATTTTTAAGGCAAAGTTATCTATAACAAGTAGGGATGTCGATCCCGGGATCGGGATCCCGGGATCCCGGGACTGTGTCAGTCCCGATTCCCGGGATCAAGATGACCGGGATCCCGATATCCCGAATGGCAAAAAATAGCACATTGTGCATCTAAATTCTGCTATTTTTTTACAAGGGAAAGGTTTTCATCCAATTAATCGTTCAATGGTTTGTTTTTGGTCACAGAAGCTCTACAGTACACGGCATTGACCGCCGCAGTAAAACAGCAGTACCAGCCATGTCACACGATTCTATCTCAGAGGCCCCAGTCTCGGACTCCAAAACGGGACGTTGAACACGACACCCGATGCCAACTAACGCGAGTAGGGGGTGGAAGGGGGCCGGGGGAGGGGTCTGGCTCTGAGCATGAGCAAATCACCGATACATGACCCTAGTGTGACGGGACAATGCTTCGGGCGATATGAGCGTAACGACGAATATACACGTCTCTCAGAAAAAAAAATATGTACGTCTCTCAGAAATCGAAGATATATGAGCGTGAACGTGCACTCTGGTGCAAAAGTGTGGGGCCTCGGTGTGGTTCGGTGTCATGGCTCTATGCCAGCGGAGAAGTGCGCGGACCTGCTGAGGGTCAAACTAGCAGAGTTTGACCTCGACCTCATCCGGCACGTGACATGCGTCACCACCGACGGTGCGTCGGTCATGGTGAAGTTCGGAAGAAGTTTGCTGTGCGAGCACCAGCTGTGCTTTGCACACGGCGTGCACCTTGCGGTAATTGATGTTTTATATACGGGGGACGGCGGAGCTAAAGCACCCTGTGAACCTCGTGTCGGCCGTGACCCACCAGATACGGAGTCACTAGACACGGAGTCATCTACGGATGAATCGGATGAAGGTGACATCGGGGAAGATGACGTTGGAGACGAGGATTACAATCAGCTGCAAGGTTCACGAGCTGAAGCGGTTCAAAGCGTCCGGAAAATTGTGAGATGGTTTCGGAGGTCTCCCGTGAGAAACGAGGTGCTTCAAAAGTACGTGACGGAAGAACATGGTAAACCATTGATGCTAATGCTGGATTGTAAAACGAGGTGGAACAGTTTGTTTGCAATGCTGGAACGATTTGTTACACTAAAAAGCGCAGTGCACAAAGCAATTATTGACATCGGTGACCAAAATATTCAGATGATCAGTGATCGGGAGATCGACATGGTGCGAGAGATTGTTCGGTGCCTGAACATCATACAGTTGGGAGCAGAGGCCCTGTGCCGCAGAGAAACTGAACTGTTAGAAGCCGAAGCTGCTCTGAAGTTTGTGCTCAGCTCTCTGGAAAAGGAAGGCGGCCAGCTGGCGAAGCGGTTCTACGATGCCTTGACGTTAAGGATTCGTCAGCGTCGGTCTGAGGCGGCTTCAGTCCTGCAGGCACTGCATAACAACTTGCTGCCTCAAGACGAGGAAGACAGTGAGATTTTCCCCCAGGCCAGTCGGAAAGAAGTAGATCAGTGCATAAGTCGTATGTTACTACGGATGAGTGGGGAGGGGATCGGTGATGCTGTGACTGAGAGTGAGGGAGAAGAGGATGTCGAGCAGTCTGCGGCGGAGCCGACTCTGCAGCAGCAGCTGCAACGAGCTCTGGCGACGGCGGCGAAAAGTCGTGCGCCTGGCGCACCGGGACAGGTGGGAAGATCCCAACTTTCAAAGGCAGTTAAAAAGGAACTACAAAACCTTCCTGTTTCTGGGAAGGGGCCGCTCACCACCATGGCCTACAAGTGGCTCAAAGGCATCGTCGCCACGAGCGTCGAATCTGAAAGAGTGTTTTCAACTGTAGGTAACATAGTGACAAAAGTACGTTCTCGTCTGAATGACGATACAGTTGACGCCCTGTGCTTCCTGAAATGTCACTATAGGTAAAGTAAGAGGCGAGCTGGGAAACTTGCAGTTATCTGTTTACGCTTGACTTCAGTACAGCCGTGTGTTCTTATCCTTGTGCGAGTCCAAAGGAGATTTTAGAAGCCTTTCGGGCAGTGGCACCACGTGAATCCAGTAATACATGTACATACGTCGTTTGATTACGTGTATTCTTTTTCTGAACGCAATTTCAGGTGTTTTACTGGTATCGTATCATATCGTATATCGCAACTAAATATGGATGCGTGGGTGATCACTCGATTGCAACATTGAGTAAAAGCGTTTGCTTAACGTAACTAGACGCTAGGTCAGTCGAATATTAGAGAAAACACCAATCCCGGGATCCCGGGAAATCCCGGGATTTTCCCCCGAAAATCCCGAAATCCCGGGATCGGGAAAAAGGTCCGGGATCGACATCCCTAATAACAAGTAACAGCAAAAGTATACATTGAGTCCGAGTGACTGTTAAAAGATAAAGTTTTCATATTCTTACATTATTTGACATCCTGAATCCAAAAATGATACTTATATGTCTTGGAAATAAAAGAAAAAACAATCCAACCTGACCTAACCTTACCTATTTACCTACAACCTACCAACCTACAACCTACAAGCCTACAACCTACCAACCTAAAACCTACAAACCTACCAACCTAAAACCTAAAACCTACAAACCTACAACCTAACCTAACCTAAAACCTAAATTTTTTTGCTGCTACATATTTGTATCAACAGCGTCACAATTGTCCACTCGGACCTAATATATACTAATACCCAATTAACAACAATGTGGATAGGTTCAAAAATGAAGACATCTTTAAGATACACTAAAACCTCTGGATTTAGTAGAAACCCGCTAGGAGAAGCGTATCCTTAACCCGCGCCCGACTGGGGGTCCTGGATTTCCACGCCCTGCTGGGGGGGGGGGGGGTGTTTGAACACCCCCCCTTGTAACTCGGCTCCTGGGCCACGTAGCGATACGCGGAAAGCGGCGTTCGAAAGAGCGTCAAAAATAATGACGAAATCGCATCGGTCAATTATTTGGTCAGGTCAAAGGTCAGGTCACCAGAGGTCATTGAAGGCAAAATTTCGCCGATTTCCAGGTCGAATGTCAAAAATTTCCAAGAAGCCAACGCATAACTCGAGAACCAATAGAGCTACAGCGCCGCGGAAAAGCGCATTCGATAGCCCTATTAAAGCCCTTTCTGAGTAATTCTCTCAGATTTGACCTAACGTCAACGGTTTTGCCTGCAGGGGGCAAAAACTGCAAAAATAGCCGATTTTTTCGGAAACAGTTTTTCTGCAATAACTTTTGACCCAAGCCTTGTACGAGCTTACTTTTACCGGCATTGTGATCCTCTCGTCAAGACGCATCGAATGAACTATAAGTTGACCTCAGGTCAAGGTCATGACCTGACCGGAAAGGGTCATGTTGCATATCAGTCGATCCGTATCGTCGAGCTGAACACATCTAAGGCATTTTCATCGTTCTAGCATGCCTCTATCAAAAGTTATTTGCGAAAAACTGTTAGATACCATTCGTGACCTAAGATGACCTCAGGGCATAAACAAGGGTCACTGACACCATTTTCATGTTCAGTGTGTCTAAACCACTTGTAATTTGGTGTTTGGGAGTGTTTATAATGTCTTTTGTCCAAAAGAGGCGCGTTTCAATTTTCTCCCATTGACTTATAATGGGGAGGTCGCAAAATTGACCTGACCTTTGGTCATCGATATCAAAATTCTGAGATATACATTTTGTACATGCTATTGCTCTTAGCAATCGCTGAAAGTTTCAAAGCGATCGGCCACTCGGTGTAGCTATGACAGACATTGAAACTTTTTATGAGGTGAGGTCACTTCAAGTGACCTGGTGACCTGACCTTGAATGACCTTGGTCTGAAATTTTCACAACATGTGTAGAATTGATGTATGATAAGGTAGACCAAAAACGGCGGCGCTCCGCGCCGCCGTTTTTTGAGATATTCGCGAAAAACCACAAGGGGGGGGGGGTGTTCAAACACCCCCCCCCCAGCAGGGCGCGGGTTAAAGATGTTAAATGAAACTAATTCTGTAAAATCCAGGGTATCAAAATATAGAAGGTATGGCTCTTAATTGTTAATTGAAAGTTGGTGACTTGTGCATGTCAAAAGCTGCACATTTCCCCCTTCATATAATGTAAGAAATATATTTTATATTGGCTTGGTAATCCACCTGCAGAAGGCTTGATGCATGGGCCCTGTTTCACCGGTGATAGCAGCACGCTACTATCAAATTGCGCGAGCTGACGTAATGTGATGACGTCACACTAATGACGTTTCGTGTAATCTGTGAGCTTTTTCATACCTACGTTTGGAACAGAGTTGCCGTCTCGTTGAATGCGTTTGATACATTCGCACGGCCGTGAAGATGTTAGCAGCAATTTTTGATGACATCACACAGATTGACGACGGCAAGGTTTGTTGATGTCTCCATAAAAACCCAATTTGACACGTGTGATAGCAGCGTGCTGCTATCACCGGTGAAACAGGGCCATGGAAGAAAGTGTTTGTAAGAGCCTATTTAAATATGAAAAGTTTACAATATGCTTTTCCTCTCTGAAGTTTTTTAATAGGATTAATCTATGTATTGATAGATGAATATTATTCTTATGTACTAGTTTTTTTCCTTTGCAAATATCTGATCTCATTTACCATACCAAGTACGTTACTTACATCACAGTGTTAAGTGTTTTTTTGTACAGTTTTTTAAATACTTTTTTTACTTATTGTTTAGGGCACTGTTACCATTCCCATGGAATCAACAGTGTTTGTTCTGGGGGTTCTCACATTTCTTTGTGTTTCTGAACCTACATGGGAGTGGAAGTGTTTAGCAATCTTATCCTGCAAAATCAGAGGTTATTGCTGATGGTGTAGTTGTTGACTTCTTTTTATCCTTCTCTGGAGTGAAATTGCAAGTTGCATGTATTGTAAAGAATTTGTGGTTTGCTGTTTCTTTTTTTTTAGTGGAAGGAGATGGCATCAATTTAACAAATGCTTTGATGTCAGGAATAGACTTGCTGATTTATGATCATTTGATTGTAGTTCATTGTAAAGCTATTATAGGTTTGGGTGGTTTAGACTAGGTCCAGCCAGTGGTCTTCTTGTGTCCAAATCAGTTCATTATGCCATCAAACCCAATCATCATCATCAAATCAGTTCATTGTGGTAAGAAGTGTCGTGTGAAGATGTTGGTGTGTTAATTTCTGCTTTCACAAAATCATGGTTTTTCCTATTCCCCACTCCCATTGACACATTTTCCCTATTCCAGGGTGGAAGTGGCGACATTTTGCACTCTCAATGATGCACTTCTCTTATGCCAGGGGTGGTTGTCTTCCACACTGACACAGTGCTTTCTGATTTCAGGGGGTGGTGGCATTCCCCAGTGGTGTTTTTCACAAGTGAAGGGAACACTAGAGGATGAGATTCATGATGGTAAGTGCCAGCAGCTGACTGCCAGACAGCTGAATATGTGCTTCATAGTTCATTTGTAGTGTTTTACTCAGCAATTTGTGGAGACTAATGCTCTATGCTCAAATTTGCAGTGTTTATTCCTCAAGCATTGAATCTGTAATTGTTCAGTAAACAATCAGACTTTTTGTAATCCTCTCTGAAGGGACGCTAATGACCATCGCAGTGCGGGCGCCCCCAAATCCCAAATCATCGTTATTATCATCATCATCTGAAGCACAATAAATGTTGACTTTTTGGCACTGTTAATGTGCAGCATTGTGACAATATGTTGGTGGCATAATTGGTGGGTTCTGACTGTGTGTGCCAATCCTCTCCCCAGCTGTGGTGTGTAGTGCAACCAGAAGGTACAGCCCCCTAACAGGTACGACATTTTCCGTTCCAAGCCATCACACCTCCCTGTAATACAGGCTGAAATTCAGCCTCTATCTTGTCGCCAAAATATCCCCACCACTGCCAGAATGCCACAGTCCTCCAGTTTACAGGGTCGTCCGAGCCGACTGACAGACTGTACTCTGTCTGGTGGTACCGCGTTCCGTACCACCGGCGGCGGCACCCCGACCCTGTCCGTCACTGGCCACCTGGTGGTGACCCAGTACACCACTCTGACCTTTCACTAGCTGTGCTCTGACCCCAGCAGCATTGATTATTGCTGACGGGACGGACAGTGACAGTGACGAGCGCCCGTGACTTGCAGCCTGTCTGTGCCTATTCCTCCCTGTTTGTAGCTGATCAGTGGCATCCAGACTGCCCCTGCCCATAGCTGCCCTTCGTGACTGGTTAGGCTGACCCTTAGTGCTGACCCGACCCTATCTTCGGCTGACATTCCTTCCACGCTCCCGCCCATGACCGTGGCCGGCCGTTATTGCCGCAACTCATCACATTTACCTGTACCACTCCATGCTAACCCACCCCTTCCTCGCTTTCCGCAGAGGACATCATCTCATGTATGGAGTTTGACCACGACGGTGAGCTGCTGGCTACGGGTGACAAGAGCGGCCGAGTGGTCATATTCCAGCGCGACCCGCAGTCTAAGACGCACAAGCCGCCTCGCGGCGAGTACAACGTCTACAGCACGTTCCAGTCACACACGGCGCGATTCGACTCGCTCAAATCGCTCGATATCGAGGCGAAAATCAACAAGATCCGGTGGCTCAAGCGCAAGAATGCCGCCCACTTCTTGCTCTCAACAAATGGTGGGTAGAGAGGGATGGGAAAGGAGGGAGAGGAGAAGATAAATGGGATGGAAAGGAGCCGTGACTCCGACTGTCGGGCTTTGTACGTAAGAACGTAAAGAACGAAAGAGAGAACGTAAGAGACAAGTCTGAGCTATAACTTTCAGTAGAATGCTAGACTGTCGATCATTGCAGGGTGGTGTGCCTAAAAATGACGATTCTCTTCTACCAGGAATGAAATAATTATTTTCCCTGACACACCATGTGGACTAGTGTATTGATTCTTGTGACCCGTGACCCATTATATAACCATCAGTCGATGACCGTGTGCCCTTCGTTCACAGACAAAACAGTGAAGCTATGGAAGGTGTCTGAACGGGACAAGCGGGAGGTGGGCTTCAACACGCGCGAGGACAGCGGCGTCCTCCGCGACTACAGCAGTATCACCTCACTCAAAGTACGTCCCGCCGACCGGGCCGCGCGCTCAGCGCCTCCCCGGCGGTCGCCGCTGGTTGTGATTGGCAGCTGGGAGAGGGGTGGTTTTAGTGGAGAGAGAGGGACTGGAAGAGAGCATCAATGTTTCTATGTAACTGATCCTTGTTTAGACCTGGGTAAAAAGAAAGGATGTGATGTAGTTGCAGTGGTCATGCCAATGACAGTGCTTCCCATTCAGCTTTACTGGGTGGTGTGTGGGCCTCTGAAAACTGCAGAGGAGTTCCTGTTGCAGCTCTCCATTGCCTCCTCGTATGTTTTATCCCCACGTCGTCCTAGCTAATTCGCCTTTTCTGGAAGTTCTGAATTCCTAGCCTTTAAGACCCTGCTGGTCTGTTGAGAGAGCATTTAGACGAGGATTTGCGGACTTTCTTTTGTGAGGAGCGGGGTCTTTTCACTAGCGCCAGTCTTGTGAACTAGCGCCAGTCTTGCGCCAACGCCTTTTGTTACGGCATTGCTCAGTGAGGCGATCTTCATAACGGCCGACATTTTATTTTTGATAAAGAGATAGAGTTGAAAAATAACCGCAAGAAATATTGAGCTGCGATCTATCGGCGAGAAGTGTCAATTCATCACCTTTTTATTGTCCTGTTAGCTTTTTCATAATGTTCATTTTTGAAATGTCAAATCGTTATCCTTTACCATCAGGAATGGTCAGAAATTTGTGAAATCAGCGCGGTGTTTATCGATACGAAGTCTCGCATAATTGTTTTTATTGCGATGTCAATCTCCAATCGTCTTTGCACTATAGAAATCCGTGTTTTCCTTCACTGCACTGCACCTATCTGTTGCATAGCGCTGCGTTGTGATACGCACCACTATTGGTTTTACTACGGCCCCAGCTCATATCTCGCTATCTCTGGGCCGTGCATGTTTGGGCGATTAACCGGCGGTCTTGTTGCGCGGCACGAGTGAGCGCTGCCGACCGTGTGGCGGAACGTCTAGACGCGGCTGCGGCCCGGTGCACACTGCACACACCCCACAGCTATTCTGCGGCGGTATACAGTAGTCTGCTCCGATACGGTCGGGTGGTGTACCCCTTAGTGCGTCATGGCTGGCTGACTGCCACTGGGCGGTGGGTTGGTCTAGCTGAATTGTTTTTTATTGCTGAACTGGTCCTCATATTAGGTGAGAACAAGCAGGAAAGGGTTTACAGTCGTTGGACTTCAATTAGCTCACGTAACACCTCCTGCCCTGCTGGCTATTGACCTTGTCAAACTATAAATGCATGTGGTGATGATATGCTAAGTCCTCGCGGAAGTCATGCAGGGACGGGGATGACGCCCTGCCTCACTCGCAGCTATGATATACGATTTCAAATGGCTCGCCTTGGCGTCAGTGTGCTGATGATGTTGCGTCAGTGAAGATTTGTCGCGGTGCCGTAAATTTTCTGAGCGCCCGGCTGGTGTCGATAGCTGCCAAGCTGTCAATCTCTGTCCTAACTATTCGCCCCGGCGGTAATCTCAGAGGTCGTCCTATCTGCGTCATTTTGTCGGTCAGATGTGTTAAAAATTTAAAGGGTATTGGGGAATTTAAGCCCTATTTTCCCGTCCGCACTACCACCGCGTGGGGTGGGCGGTGGACGCTTGGGACTGTCTGTAACTTCCAGACATTTCCACTTGCGTGTGACGTGTCTGACCCATCCTGACCCCAACCCCTCCCTCACTTACCGCAGTGGCCACGTCCAATTCCTGTCTGTGACCTGTGTTGACGTTGTACTCCTGCAGTTACCGCGTCGGGCGCCGATGACCCTCGTTTGTGACCCCTGCTGACCTGACCCCGCCTCCCCCGTAGGTACCGCGGTGGGCGCCGATGGCCAGTGTTGACCTGACCTCCACCCCTCCCGCAGATACCGCGGTGGGCGCCGTCTGTGACCCCCTGCTAACCCGCCCCGCCCCCTTCCCCTCAGGTACCGCGGTGGGCGCCGATGCGGCTGACGGTGAACGCGTGTCCGCGGCGGAAGTTCCGCAACGCCCACGTGTACCACATCAACTCCATCAGCGTCAACTCCGATCAGGAGACGTTCCTCTCCGCCGACGACCTGCGCATCAACCTCTGGCACCTCGAGGTCAACGACAAAAGCTTCAGTATCCTTTGCCACCGCCCGATGGCGCTGCCTGTCTGCCGAGGCAGGCGGGATGCGGAGAGGAAAATGCAGGATGGCTGGATCTCAGAATCACCCATTATGAAGATGAATTCTGTTTGATGGGATTGATGGAAGGGGATTGTAGGGCATTAAACAGGATCTTGGAAGGTTTCATTTCAGCCGGTTTTTCGTTGCTCGAACGTCAATTACTTTCAGAGCCCGTAGTTAGTTTGAAGATGGGCGTCGTCTCTGATTTAATCTCACTAAGCCTCACTCAGCGGATTGAGAGGGATGCCAAAAGTGCTCTCTGTTGGATTATTTCAATAAAGTTCTGTTTCACTGCTTGTCTAGGGTAGGATGCTCGAAGTGATGCAGCAAAAGACTGTATTCATTATCCAATCAATCACTGTTCAAATTTGAGCTAGTGAGCATGAATCGTGCTGAAGTAAAGTTAAACTATTTTGTCATATACGCAGGGCTCTTCGTAAAGCATGCACGCAGTGTCAGGTTGCCTCCTTCGTAACATGGTACAACATCCGCAATCCTTAATTTCTTGTAGCAAGTTTGTATGGCTTGTGGCTGCATTCACCGCACGATTTATTTATTCCCTCTCTGCCTCTATTTATTTGTTCCCTCTTCTCTGAGCCGCCGTGTATCAGCCGACAGTCCACATAACTGCCTTGCCTTACCGTACCCCTCGTTCTTTGAACCGCCGCCCATCTCCCACCGTCCGTGACAGAACGTGCGTTGGTTTCCTTAACCGGCCGCTGCGCGCTCTCAGACATTGTAGATATCAAGCCGAGCAATATGGAGGAGCTGACGGAGGTGATCACGGCGGCCGAGTTTCACCCCACCGAGTGCAACCTCTTTGTGTATAGTAGCAGCAAGGGCACCATCCGGTTATGTGATATGCGCCAAGCTGCCCTGTGTGATAAACATGCGAAAAGTGAGTACCGGGAGAGGGAGGCGCCGGTCCAACGGATATTCGTGGATAATTTACTAGCGACGGTTTTCGTTCGAGATTAGATTAGTTCTCAGCATTGTTTTTCCTGTTCTGAGAGTCGTGATAATGAATTCCATTTGTCACTCGTAACAGATGGAACTTTTCAGCTGCCAATGTGTTGGTTGTATCAACTGGTGTTTTGCGTCTGTGACCCGTGCTGCATCTGCGAAGAGGCCCGTGTGTGATGTACGCTTGACCTTGTTGATTAATTATTTTTGTCGGTTGTTGACGTTTTACCTTTCCTTGTGGGGCGGGGCTTTTTCGTATACCTTTACACCTACACCCGTCGTACTTTGAATCGTGTTGTATCATGTCTGTTCTCTACTGACCCGCTGACCTGACCCTTCTGGAATGTCGGTCCTCGACATGGCTCAACATCGCTAAGTTACCTCGTGATCGTGTCAGCCGTTGGGTGCCGCCGACATCCTCTCGTGGGCCGCTGGTATATGGCGGCATGGCTGGCCGCTGGGTGGTAGATGCCTTTCCGAGGGTTGGAGAGGGTGGGCGCCAGCTAGCTGCAGTTCTGCTACCGTCTAGGTCCGGCGGTGGATCTTAGACACGGGCCAGGTCTAACCGGACCGGGCGGTGAGCTGCCGGCCTGTTGCCGGGTCTGGAGCCGGGGTAGGTACCGGCCGGACCGTGGGAAGGAGGCGTCTGACGCCCATCAGGCCGACAGGGCACCGACAGCTCCCCGGCCGACCGGCCGTTCCCACAGCCCACCGGACAAATGGCCGAGAAATATGGCCCACCGTGTTTAACGGCGCCGTGACTCAGTGTGGCAGGCCGCAGCTGCTGCTGAAACGGCCGACAGGTTTGTTTTCTTGGTTATTTGCGAGAAGAGTAGTTTCGCTATTCCTATGGCACCCATGAGGACATTCATGCTTGTAGCCCCACGAGAAGCTACAAGCAATGTGGGAGCTGATGTCGCTTGAGATGTAACCCCTACTTCTCGTCTGGTTATTTTAGGAAACTATAGTGTTAATTTAATTGGAATATCATCTCCGACAACTTCAGGTCCATAATGTGGGGACTCGAGGAGTGTGCGACCGGTGTAGTTTTTGCGCCCTGAAAACCCAGAAGCAATCATTCGATTGCCAAGACCTTGTGGTTGACCTTGTACTGGTCGTGTACGGTGTACACTATAGCTCTTAAAGGTCCTTATTGGTGCGCTAAGCGACTCTAGGTTTGCTTGCTTCTTGATATGGATTGTCCGCGCTGTTGCATCACTTGAAGTGCACTGTATTCTGGGATGGGAAGCCATACATGGCCGTTCACTGAATTGACGGCAATACCATATTTGCCAAGGATAAAACGGGACACGATCCCCCGGCTACATGCTGCCGATAGTGTGTGTTGCATCAGGCAGTCGTTTTTGTTCGATGAAACGTCCGTCGAAATTCGCCGCCGGTCGGGAACGGGTGCGCAATTTGCGCCTGGGTGCGGTGTCCTTGGCTGGAAGTGCCGCCGGGACGACGCTCCTAGCCGGCACAAATAAAGCCGTCAGCTAATTTGTGACCGTCCATGACTGGGGGCGGCGACTGGGGCCGACTGTAAATGAACGCCGGCCGTTTGTGTGGCGAGATGAAGCGCTCCGACTCTGTGTGACGGCGCAGATCTGTCAGTGACGGCCGGCTGTCGGCACTCGCCGGCGGACCGGCCGGCTCAAATCGGCGCCCGGGCCGGGCTGGGTGACCGTCTCCGACGGAGGGGCGTCCTCCGCCCGTATTGAGCGGCCCCGACCGGCAGAAAGTGGTTCATGGTCGCTCCGCTGGCCGCGTTATGACCGGCCGCCGGCCGCCGGCGGCGGCAACTGAAGCATGGCGGCTCGGCGGCTCGGCTAACTGCGGTTGATGACCGCGATGCTGGGAAGGCCGGCCGGCGAAAGAGGGCTGAAATGGTTGGTACAGAAAGGACTGGATGCTCTTGTCTGACGTATACACCTCTCATTTACCGTCTTAGTTTAGTTTTAGTGTGTCTTATGTCTCAGGATGTGGCATTTATGTCTCAGTGGATTGTGTCCTATTTGTGTTCCTGTGGTGTTGAGGCATATGATGTCCGTTTGTGGCTGTTGGACACTCGGGGAGACAGACCGTGCCCCTCCCCGCCCTACGCTGTCGCGCCCCTCCTACCAACTTGGCTGACTGGCCCAGCTGCCCGTGCCCTGACTGAATATATTTTATTCCGCTCTGGCCCGTCCGG